GGTACAAATTAAAATTTATAATTTAATATAAGTCAAAATAAATAATTAATTTTAGCCAAATATTTTATGGGACCTACAACTTTTCAACAACACATTTTAACAATTTTATCAAAATTTACTAAAAATCTGAGTTTTAATCTCGATCAAACAGGGGCTTAACTTTGTTTATTTATTTTTTTACTCGAGTTATTCATAAGAAAGGAAGAAAAAAAAAACAATTAAGATATATATTGCTATTAACAAGTTGTAAACTAGATAGAAAAAATAGAAAAAAAAAATCAATAGATTTTATATATTTTATTAAGAATCGATGCCATATATTTAAAAGGAAGAAAAATACAATATTTATAAAAATTATGGTTACAGTGATACAATGATGGTTTGTTAATTGGAACAATTTACAACGTTTGTACCATTTTCATTTCCTAGAAAAGGATTGCATGAATCCACGTTTAGTAACAAAACAGGTGGAGCTCAAGCTAGTGCAATATCCAATTTTTCTATAAAAAGAGGCATATTCAAAATTACGTGATCCTAGTGATCAACAACCCAACAGTTTTGTAACTCGGATCCAACTTGAAATTATTGGGGCAAGTCCAAGCCCCAGTTAGTTCATCTGTGTGTTTAGCTCACACTGGTGACATAATTTTCTGCCCTCGATCTATTAACCATTGTACTCGACCTTGAATTTTTCGAAGTCGTCCTGAATTTTCTTTTTATATTTTTTAAATTTAAATTTTACATCATTTTCCTGTTCCGCCTCCCAAAAAACCCCAGTTGAGCGGGGATGGGATGGCTGCTCCGGCCGATGCCCATCCTTGGTTCAATCCACCTATTATTGATCAGGAAGTCAAGGAATCCATATTATTAAAGTTATGTTTTAATGATTAAACCCATTATCTTTTAAAAGTTGAACAAGCATTATGTTGTTGAATGAAAATAATATGAATAGATAGTAAGAAGGTGATTGTACAAAATCACTGTCCAAACCTCCCTCCCTTGGTAAGCTCTTAAAGCACTCAATAATCCACGCTTTGACTAAAGTTTTGTGTGTTTCTCTCTCTCTCAAGGTTTATCTATATTTGATTGCATTATTACTATTTGATTTTATAAGGCATGAATGGTGCAGTGGGTCCCTACAGCTACATAACACTAGTCTCAAGATTTTCCACCTTACACGCATACATCATAAGGATAGATGAGGTATTAGCATGTTAAATGGATAGGTTCGATCTTTAGTCATTTGATTAGGGCCTCTTAAAATAATCTACGCAATTCATCGACTTCGCATCATCCGCACCTTGATCCGACTTATCACGAGTAGTTTGTTCAGTGTTCAAAACTCAACGATACACAAAGGTTGAGCACGAGCAAGATGAATGGATGGATGGGTGAACTTTTTTATTTATTTCTTGCGCATATATCTACTATCTATTACCCCTTTTGTTTTAGTCTTCACTGTTTATATTTTAAAGAAACTCTCTCCAACTTTTGTATTGTATTCTATTATTGATGCCATGCCCATGAGGATACAAAAACCAACTTCATATTTGTTTTAACCAATTTATTCAAAAACCTTAAAAACAACTGTTTTAAATTAGGTGTATTTACCATCTTATTACTCAAATTCTCACCAACCAATTATTGCTTTGCTTATTCTTTCATCATTAACATGTTAGATGGATTTAGACTTTGGTCCCACACTTTTCACAGGTTTAGGGAAATCTTACCAAATTTCATCTCTCAAAGGTTCCAGACCCCACAGGTTAAACCACTTTTTTTTTTTTTTTCTTTTCAAATTACCAACCTTTCTTTTTTATTCATAATGAAGTTATATACAATTTGCATTTTTAAATCTCTTAAAACAAGTCAAATTTTATTTATTTAATAAAACTCTCAACTTGCATCTAGGCAGAAACATTGGATTTCTACACCAGTTGCAAATCCTCTGATGTAGATAACTCTCTTTCTCACTAACAACCTTTCTTTATCAGTGGCAGTTAGTCTTCCTGTCATCAACAACTCTTCCTTCAATCAGTGAGATAAGATTTCCATTTTTATTGAAAACTTAATTGGTAAACATATATGTATATATATAGTCGACATACAGTTGAATGGCTTATTCAAAAAAGTCTGATACACTACTTCCAAATACACTTATTTATGAAATGTCTTCTTTGATGCATATTCTGGGCTTGAGCTTATGGCTCTTCTTGGCCAGCCAAAGCTCGAAAACTGCAGTTTCACAGAATCCTGCAGAGGTTGTTCAAGGAAGTGTATATATTGACGGAGGTTTGTCAATTGGTATGATAGATGAAGATTTCATTTGTGCTACAATGGATTGGTGGCCTCCCACCAAATGTGACTATGGAACTTGTAGCTGGGGCAATGCTTCGCTACTCAATCTGGTACTTCTTCAGCTTCTACAACTGAATTAATGTAAAATATCTTAGAAAAGAAGAAAACTGTAAAGAAACTGAAGTTGAATTGGTTCCCATTCAATTTTTAACCAAGTTTCATCTAATTTTACAGGATATTGGCAACAAGATTTTGCTAAACGCGATCAAAGGTATAGTACTGAATGTACATTAATGAAATATTTCTCTAGCGATAAACTTGGATTGAAAATTTATTTTATTGCAGCCTTTTCTCCCCTGAAAATTAGACTTGGTGGAACTTTGCAAGATAAAGTCATATACCAAGTTGGAGATGATCCCGGAGCATGTACCCAATTTGTTAAGGATAGCACAGAAATGTTTGGATTTACTCCAGGTTGCTTGCCCATGTCCCGGTGGGATGATTTAAATGACTTTTTCAAGATGGCAGGGTAACAATGTTTTTCCAAAATCTTCAACTGATAGTTCTTGAACCTATTTTACTGCTTTCATATACTTCTACACATTAACAGGGCAAAGGTTATCTTCGGTTTGAATGCATTAAATGGGCGTAAAATTGGCTCCGATGGGTCTACAACAGGAGCTTGGAACTCCAGCAATGCAGAATCTCTCATAAGATATACAGTCAATAAAGGCTACACTATTTACGGCTGGGAGCTTGGTTAGATTTCTTGATAGTGATGATAAACTCATAGTCCAAGTTTAGATGAGTTTAATTTAATTTTGATGTATCGTAAAATCTGATCAGGAAATGAACTGAGTGGCAATGGAATTGGAGCAAGTATTGCAGCAGATCAGTATTCATCTGATGTGATCAATCTTCAGAAAATAGTGCAAGATGTATATAGTGGATTTGAGACGAAGCCACTGGTCCTTGGACCAGGAGGATTCTTCGACGCAAACTGGTTCACAGTATTTATAAAGGGAGCATCCAACTCACTTCAAGTGGTTACACACCACATTTACAATCTTGGTCCAGGTATATAACTTGGGATAATCTCGAGTGCATCCCCTTTTAAAGAACTAAACAATGAAATTTATAAGTAAATTCTCTTGTGCATAGGCGTGGATGAGCACCTTGTTGACAAGATACTCGATCCATCCTACCTCGATGGTGGTTCGAAGCCCTTCAAAGATCTTCAAAGTATTCTCCGAAGATCTGGAACTTCGACCACAGCGTGGGTTGGTGAAGCTGGAGGGGCTTATAATAGTGGTCATAATCTGGTCACCAATGCATTCGTCTTTAGCTTCTGGTACATAATTTTTCTTTTTCTTCTTTAGTTTCTTGTTACATATTGATTTGAGACAGTTAAATTTGGTTCTTGGCTCTCAAATAGGTATCTGGATCAGCTTGGCATGACAGCAACTTATGATACTAAAACATACTGCAGGCAGTCATTGATTGGTGGAAACTATGGTCTACTCAACACTACCACCTATCTTCCAAATCCTGATTACTACAGGTGATCTTTATAAAGGGATAAATCTCACATTTGTTAAATACCGAAATGTAAACCAATATATAAAGGATTCGACTACTCATTCTAATAAGGTTGACTTTTTAGAACCCCACGACTTTACATGGTATAAAAATCAATTATACTCAACAAGTAATTCAATCTTATGATTAAAAATCAAAAAATGAGCAAACGGATTCCAATATTGATTTGCTGAAACGAGTCACCATCTTGCATGGCCTGTAAGGGATAAATCTCATACCGGTTAAATACCGAAATATAGACCAACATTTAAGAAATTGTGCTACTCCTTTAACCTTTTGAGATGGAACTCAAAAAAATCTTATTAATTCTAAGTCAACTCTTTGATTACAACAGTATACCTCACTATCAGTACACATATCTGGTGTTCTCATTTCGCATTTTGCCTAATAATTTGTTTATGCAGCGCTCTTCTTTGGCATCGTTTGATGGGAAGACGAGTTCTATCAACACGCTTTGTAGGGACAAATAAGATTCGTGCATATGCTCACTGTTCAAAGAATTCAGTAAGTAAAACAAAATTTGAATCTAACGTGTTGCTATAACAGTATAGTGATGTTTTTACGAACAACGTTACAGCGAGGAATCACATTGCTGTTTATCAACCTGGATAATACTACAGCAGTTGAAGTTAGCCTTTCAATCAAGAATGCCATCTTAGTCAAGGAAACATCCCAGAAGACAGAGTTTCAAAGGATAACTAGAGACAAGAAGGCCACATATCAAGTTATGAGAGAAGAATATCATCTAACACCTGAAGATGGTGATTTACATAGCCAAATAATGCTTCTAAATGGCAAAGCCTTGACTGTAAATTCTTCAGGGATAATTCCTTCATTAGAACCTAGGAGAGTAAATCTCTCAGACCCATTAACTGTATCTCCTTTCTCAATTGTATTTGCACAAATACCCTCTATTCATGTTCCTGCGTGTATCTGAGCATAGACAAATTACGTATATTGACATTTATTGATATATTCTGTACATTGATAGCCTTTCAAGTCAGAGACCGGAATAAGAATCTTCTAACAACAAGAAACTGTGTTCAAAATAGAGTCCAACTTCATTAACAATAAGAAGCAACGGAATGCACGGGTGAAAATTGCTTATTTTTAAGAATAGAACAAAATTTAATTTACCTTTAAATAAAAATGGTAAAAGGGTTCAAGAATAAGTTAATACAATTTCAACCGGCATGACTGTTTATAAAGTAAAATACATCACCGACAAAAAAAGCGCATGTTGTAATCCCAGATCCCATTCTACAAACTTGAAGAACTAACCGTGGATTTCTTATATCTTTGCAACATTATGAAAAAAGGAATGTTCCAAGAAGATTCAACTTGCTGCGACCAGCTGTTCTTGCAAAGCTAGAGGAATAGCTGGTCTCCAAGTAGTGCCTTCTGGGCTGTCCATGAGTGCAATGCCTACATCTGACAAATATTTTCGAATTGCATCAGATTCTTCATATTGCTTATTTTTTCTAGCTTTATTCCTTTCTTCAATCTTCTGTAGCACTTGATCTTCCGTCAACCTTGCACGCTTCAGTGCATAATCCCGCAGCTCTTGCAAAGCCTGGAATATGTATAAATATAAGCTTAAAATCAATTTTATTCACTGGTTAAGGATTAATGTCTGACAAGGCCTAATTTTGAAATAAAACCAACAGTTAACTGTAGAAAATGTGAGGCCACAAATAAAATGGAGGATGGTTTACATCGTAGAAGCAGATGCAATCAAAAGAGAGTTACCATAGATTTCAAAAGAATTTAAAGTAACATGAACTGAGTAATTTATGCCTTCGCAACAGACTCGAAACTTAATGGCCCTATGTCAGAAATGAAACATGTCTAGTGCAACATGAAAGCACCAAATTTTGGAATGTCATAACGGCCCCACGCAAATGCAGACACACTTAAACAATGGTTCTTTTTTTTATTTTTCATTATTTTACTTTTTTGTGGGCGTGTGGAGAGGTGTCTACAAATGAGAGAGAGAGAGAGAGAGAGAGCAATTTATTACCTCTGTGTAACTACCTGGAAAGAGTCCCAGAAGAGTCAGAACATTCCTTATGGTATTTTCCAAAGCAGCAAGTGACACTATTCGCAATTCTTGCTTCTTTCCCTGAGAAAACCACTCAGGTCGTAAAAGGACACGGGTGTACCTCAACTTACAATTGGAAAGTAGAATGCTACAACATAACTGAAAAGGATATCCACATTTAAGTTAAAATCTAGGAAATAACTATGTTGCCTAAAAGGACTGTAATGAGCACTGATTTATAGTTTCTGGAAACCACGTCCACTATCTCATCCATGCTTTGGATAATCTATGAAAAACACTTTCCTGATTTAAATTGAAGGAGAAAACAAGCATTCAGATATAAACCAGTACAAGAAAATTGTACTGACACGAAAAAATTGCTTAATCATTCAACTGAAACCAAAATACCTTACGAGTATGTAGAAGGTCATTGATGGTCTTCAATGGCTCTGACATTGCAGCCAAAGTTACAGGAGTATGAAAATCATCAGACATTGAAGTTAAAAACTCATCATTAAATTTGTCAATACAAAGTGCAGTTCCTGACGGAATGGAATCCTTCCGGCTTGCCTCATCGTGCTGGGACAGGATATTCTCACAATCATGTAACGTCTGCGACCAGAGCAAAATCTTAATATGGAAGTCTGACCTAACAGTAAAAATATGGGGACATACGAGTTTTGCAGCATTCCAGTGCCGAATATTACAGCTGTGTGAATATAGGAGCATCAACAAAGAATTTTAGAAAAAGTATTCTACATTGTCTTTAAAGAGACTTCGATCATTCTTCACAACCACATCACCAATGTTAATTTTGGATTGACGTTCCTTCGGAGCTTGTAATTATCTGTTCTATATTTTTATGTTGGCAAATTAAGAGCCTCCACATATTGAAAGTTGAATCCATCCTTTGTTTTTTTCCTTTCCATTCACTAGCATTTCTCCCATTTCATTGATAATGTTTGGATACTCTTTTTCTATTAAAAAAGAGGAAGGAAAAGTACCTGGCCCAAGGTTAAGAGAGAGAGGAAAAAAATCTACAGGGACAGACTTGGAAGCACAGTAAAGCAGTGCTTCAAGACAATATCACAAACACAAGGGGAATAACACATGCATAACTCTGAAGGCACAAGAACTTGCAAAAGCAAGTACTTCCGAAATATTCAAATTATGAAAGAGCTTGATGCAGGAGAAAAGGAATTGATATTTTACAAAATGAAACACAGAGTCAGAGCCCTCATTGTGCTTGTCCAAGGATAGATAGTATTGTACCTGATAGATGTAAAAAATACGGTCTGATGCACTTTCAAGCTGTATCTCTGAATAATTTATTGGCGAACGATAATGAGTCCCCAATAGGAAAAGTCTCAAAGCCAGTGGATGATAAAGCTCTAAGACCTAGAAATTAAAAACAAAAAAAGGACCCCAGTCAAGGAAATAGAGCAGAGAGAAACTACTACAATTGGAAGCATCAAACCAATCAGAATTTTCTGAAACCCAAACCATATCAGATTATTATGTGATCAGTCAAATTGTAGACAACGGGCATTTAATTTGTTTCTACATCTCCACTTGAGTCTAGGTTTGTGTGTGAGATAGAGAGAGGAACTTTACACAATTTATTTCCCTGTACCTGCCGAATTGTGAAAAAGTTTCCAAGAGACTTTGACATCTTCTCCGAGTCAATAGTTACAAATCCGTTATGTATCCAATAGGTTACATTGCTCATGTGGCATGCAGCACAGCTTTGCGCTATCTCATTTTCATGATGGGGAAAAATTAGATCCATTCCCCCACCATGAATGTCAAAAGAATAACCTAGATAAGTAGAACTCATGGCACTGCACTCGATATGCCATCCAGGTCTGCCAGGACCCCACGGACTATCCCAAAATGGTTCTCCCTCCTTTGCAGACTGCAAACAGACAGACAACCACTCGAATGATTGGAAAAAAGGCAGACCTTTAAAATGAATAAGGGTGAAAATTCTACAACCCATGTGGATGCAAAATTCTCTTTATTTAACTGAAAGTGAAAACTCAATGCCCTCACCCCCACTATCATTAAGGAAGGGAATGTTTTCAAGAAAAAGCATTGTAAACAAACTTATGGTCTAGTTAGATTGCTTAAACTGGCCTCCCTTCCGGTATAAAAATATGATATATGAAACACATAAAATCCAATCTACCATCAAACCATGAAACTAAAAATACTGAGATAAAAGTAAATTCCAGAACCTTTACGAAAGATATCTTGATTTATGACAATCAAGAAAGGATGCAACTATCAATTAACTATATATTAAGGCAGAAACCCATATATGCTGACACCATCTATAAATGAATATATGCATTTTTCTCTAATAATACATATCATATTTATTAACAGAGTTGATGTTATGAGCAATTACTTTCCATAATGCAAAGTCAGCTGGGTTTTTCTTCCTTGAGTCCACTGCCACCCGTTCACCCGCTCTATTATCTTCTAACTTACGGCCAGATAATCGTCCATAGTCTGGGAATTTGTCGACAGAGAAGTACACTGACCCTTGGATAGTGTACGCACACCCATTATCAAGTATCTGTTACAAAAGCATAGAGTCTGCACTTAATGCTGACATGATGAATTTCTTTGTAATGTCAAAAATCTAAGGATAAAATCAAAGAAAACAAATGAAATCGAGTTCAAATTAAAAGAAAAATTAATTTTCACTAGTTTACAATGATTTACACAATATCCAGGAACAATTTCCTTTCCAATACTACAAGGACAACAGGGATTCAATCTTGGATTACTCAAATTAAAGTCATTGATGTAACTGATGGCTTATATTTTGAGTTTCCTCAGCAAATAGAGAATATATATATATATATATATATATATATATAAAGATACCTGCTTAATCATCTCAATGATTTCTGGAATGTGATCAGACACTCGGGGTTCAATTGAAGGAGGAAGACAATGGAGATATGCCATATCACAATGAAACTCTTCACAATATCGTCTGCTTAAATTTATGGGATCCTCCCCCAACTCATTTGCTCTGGCAATAATCTACAGAATTCGAAAATTGCAGACTCAGCTATCCTGTCATACATATGTAAGAAATTGTTGGTACTTATAAGAAAGCTACAGTATCAACCTCTGTAAATTCTATGGCTTTCTCAAAAGTATAATATTATTAGTAGACATGGCAGATATGCACCAATACATCTTTCAGCAGCTTTCTCAAAAGTATAATATTATTAGTAGACATGGCAGATATGCACCAATATATCTTTCAGCAGCTTTCTCAAAAGTATAATATTATTAGTAGACATGGCTGATATGCACCAATATATCTTTCAGCTCTTTGAAACAAAACTTGACCCACCTTGTCATCAACATCAGTAAAATTGCGAACGTAGTTGACTTCATATCCCAAATACTTGAGGTATCTGCCTAATTTTAAAAGAATGGAAGGAAAAATGAAATTAGTTCTAAAACTTAATGCTTTACTACCAACAAGAAGCAGAAAAAATTTAGCCGAAACAGAAACCCAAAAGGCACCATGAAATTTTACTGAAGCACATATAACATGATTCTTCCAACAGAAGTATATAATACGTCTTTCTTGAACTAAAACAATCTTTTTTT